GCTTTCTCCAACCTCTTATTGATCCCATTGATAATTGTCTTGTTGGAGGCCTCTGCCTGCCCGTTGGCTTGAGGATAGGCAGGGGTGGAGTAGAAATTACGGATCCCGAGTTGCTCACAGAAAGACTTGAAACGCCCGCCGGTGAATTGAGTCCCGTTATCCGACACCAGTGCCCGGGGAATCCCAAACCTGATGATTATGTTCTCCCAGATGAACTTTTTGGCATCTATGTCGCGGATATGAGTCAACGGCTCCGCCTCTACCCACTTGGTGAAATAATCTGTGGCCACAATGAGGAACTTCCTATTTCCCGGAGCCTTAGGCAGGGGTCCAACTAAATCGAGCCCCCACTGGGCGAATGGCCAAGGGCTGGTCAGGGGGTGTAAGTCCCCCGCGGGTTGCCTGATTGCAGGGGAGAACTTCTGACACTGGTCGCATTTTTGGACGTATGCGCGCGCATCCCTTTGCATTTGCGGCCACCAATATCCCTGAGACATGATGCGGTGTGCCATTGATCGCCCCCCAGAGTGCCCCCCGCATATTCCTTCATGTACCTCATAGAGAAGGTCTTGTACTTGGTCTTCTTGGACGCATAGCAAGTAAGGCCCTGAGAAAGATCTCCGATACAGCTTCTGATTCGGAGAGACCCAAAATCTTGGAGCTTTGAGTTTTATCTTCCTTGCTTCCTTTGAACACTCCGGGAGATCTCCTGTTCTTAGGAACCTGAGAAAGGGATCAATCCAACTGGGCAGCTTGTGTGCGTCCTAGATGACCATTGCCTCGGGAGCATGATCTATGCGCGACTGGGAGGAGTCCACCGCCGAGGCTAGACAAGCCAGGGCGTCGGCATGTGTGTTCTTGTCTCGGGACACTTGTTTGATTTCAATCCGGCCGAACCTTCGAATTACAGTCGTCGCCTGGTGATGGTAGGCCTTCATCCTAGGGTCCCTTGTCTCAAACTCTCCGTTAACTTGATTGACTACTAGCATAGAATCACAATGCACGATTAAATCGGTAACTCCAGTCGCCTCCGCTAACCGAAGTCCTGAGATGAGGGCCTCGTATTCAGCTTCATTATTCGAAGCCTTGAATCCCAGCCGAACGGCCTGCTCCGCAATAATCCCATCTGGAGAGGTCAGCAAGATACCGATTCCGGACCCCTTAC